CCAGAACTCTGTCACTTATGTGGGGCACATAGTCTCCGCTGAAGGAGTAGCCACAGATCCTGCTAAAATTGAAGCAGTGTTGAATTGGCCAAGACCAAATAACATCGGTGAGTTGCGGTCCTTTCTCGGATTCTGTGGTTACTACCGAAGGTTCGTGAAAGACTACTCAAAGATTGCTCGAGAGTTACATGACCTGCTGAAGATTATCTCTGACGTAAAGGGTGTTAAGGCACCATATCCTAAAGACCCCTTTGGAGAGAAATGGACTTCAGGATGTGAAGATGCCTTTCTGACACTGAAGAAGAGACTTACAGAAGCTCCTGTCTTAACCTATGCAGACCCTGAGAAACCATATATCCTCCATGTGGATGCCAGTATGGAAGGCCTAGGGGGTGTACTGCACCAAAGTTATCCAGCAGGATTGAGGCTGGTGGCTTACATAAGTAGGAGTCTTACAGGTGCAGAGAAGAACTATCCAGTCCATAAATTGGAATTTCTGGCACTCAAGTGGGCAATCGTGGATAAGCTGCATGACTATTTGTATGGGGCAACATTCGAAGTAAGGACTGACAACAATCCACTTACCTACATCCAGACTACAGCTAAGCTGGATGCCACAGGACATAGGTGGTTGGCTGCCTTGTCAAACTACAGTTTCAGCCTGAAGTACAAGCCTGGGCCCAAGAATGTCAGCGCAGATGCCCTGTCCTGCAGACCTAGACTCCCCCCTCACCAAGAAGAAGAGGAGTGGGAAGAGATCCCTGGGCCGGGGGTAGGAGCCTTTTGTCAGATGTATGTGGTGGCCGAGAGTCAAGAAGAATTTACCGAGCTAAGAGGGATAGACTCCATTAGCCACTCTCCTGAAGCTGTGCCTGAGGTGTTCCATGCTCCCGTCATGCTTCAACAGTGGTCCAGTATAACCACAGAAGACAAGAGGAAGGCTCAAGCGCAGGACTGGTATATTGGGATAGTTATCAGAGCAATAAAGACTAAGAATCCTAAATTGCTGACTTCTCTACCTGTGAATCAAAGAGAATTATACCGAAGAGTATGGAGCCGACTACATCTCGAAGATGGAGTACTCTATAGGGTCGTGAAGTATCATGATCACCCTGACAGAAAACAATTGGTACTACCGCACCGATACCGTGGCATGGTCCTGAGAGCTCTCCATGATCAACATGGGCATCTCGGGGTGGACAAGACCTATGGCCTAGTACAAGATCGGTTCTATTGGCCTCGCATGAGGGAACATGTCGAGCAACATGTAAAGACATGCAGGAGGTGTATCCAGAGGAAGACCCTGCCTGTGAGAGCTGCCCCTATGGGTCATCTGAAATGTACGGGACCCATGGATCTTGTGTGCATGGACTATCTCTGCATTGAGGACGATACAGCGGGTGGTAACGGACCACTTCACCAGATATGCTCAAGCCTTCCCCACTAAAGACCAAAAGGCTGTGACTGTAGCCAAAGTCCTTTGGCAGAAGTATTTTATTCACTATGGACTACCCAATCGGCTACACTCTGATCAAGGTAGAGACTTTGAGAGTAAGTTGATCAAGGAGCTGTTAGGCATGTTGCAGGTGCAGAAGTCCAGAACCACACCTTATCATCCAGAGGGTGATGCACAGCCAGAACGTTTCAATAGGACCCTCCTAGATATGCTAGGGACTCTCAAGCAAATCGAGAAGCGGTCTTGGAGTAAACATGTGGAAACCATGGTCCACGCATACAACTGTACAAGGCATGAATCTACAGGGTTCTCACCCTATTTCTTAATGTTCGGAAGAGAAGCTCGATTGCCGATAGATGTCCGGTTGGGAGTGTCTCCTGATGGAACAGATTCAACTTCACACTTTCAATATGTGAGGAACCTCAAACAAAACCTTCGTCGGGCCTACGAGTTGGCCACCCAAGCTGCAGCAAAAATGGAAGAACGGAACAAAAGAAGATATGATGCTAAGGTGAGATATCGGGAGATTCAAGCAGGGGATAAAGTTCTTCTCCGGAATCTAGGTGTGCCTGGAAACACACAAACTGGCTGACAGATGGAAAGATACCCTGTTTGAGGTTGTGTCCAAACTGGAAGGACTGCCAGTGTACAACATTCGGGGCCCGGAGGGCCGAATAAAGGCTTGGCATAGAAACCATCTGCTTCCAGTTGTGTATACTGATGAAGAGGAAGAGAGTAGTGAAGAACTGGAGGAAACCCCAGCAGAGAGTCCTGGAAATGGGGCAGAGGAGACCCCGGGAACTCCCAGTGCAGAGGATCAGTGGTGGTCATCACCCGCTGAAGAAACACAACAATTGCCTCCTTTAACTCCTGTGGTTTCACAAAGTCCCGGAACCTCTCCTGGGTCACAAAGTTCTCCAAGGTTGAATCCAGAAAGTCCCTGTTTTGTGCCTGGAACTTCCCTTAGAGACTCTACTTCGAGGGCAGGAGTCGAAGTTCCACAGTTGATGTCCCAAGATCCTCTCCCCCAGCGAGAACTGAGACACAGCACCAGAGTGCGGCAACCCCCTAGGGCCCTAGTTTATGATAATATAGGAGAGCCCAGTTATGCCCCGCTGACACAAGCAGCATTTAAAATGGCCACTTTCCTACATGCACTAGCTGAAGTGGTAAATGTTAGTGACTGTTTACCCTAAATAACTAGCTAGCTAGGATGTTACTGTGCTAACTGTACTGTAGGTATGCTAAACCTTTTTCTGTTGAATTTTTGTTAAGCTCCCTGGCTAGGACTTGCCAGTGGAAGGCAAGTATTTTCAAGGGGGAGCATGTAGCCCGTGAAGTTACACAGGCTGCATTATCTGAAATGCCCAGTAGATGGCACATGGACTCAGTATGCTGTTAATAAAACATTGAGCTTTGATCACATGACTTGCTGAAATCAGGAGGGGAGTGTGGCATCATCGCAGGGCCTGTCAGGACTTCCTGCACAGCTCTGAGGGAGGAGGATTCTAAGAGTGACCACATGCTGAGCCAGGGAAAGGACATGTGAGAGACTGTAGCACAGAGATAGGACCTGGCTGAGAGAACTTGTTTCACCCAAGATCACACCAGCTGAGAGAGGGACCTGCAGAAAAAAAAGAAGACAAGCACTGAGTCCAGACGTCTGGCGAATCCAGTGAGAGGAGACTGCTGCTGACTGACCTGGTTAATCGTGTTGTGAGGGTAAGCCAAGCCTCTCCCTGTATCACCACAGGGCACCTGTCTTCTCACTCACAGTAAAGACTCTGAGGTCCCGTGACGGACATTACACATCTGAGGCTGCTTCAGTGACCCTGCGGAGCAGGACTTATAAGGGCCCCAACTCTCCTATGTGCACCAACGGCCGCTAGGGCGAAGATAAGGGGGTGGGGCGCAGGTGTGCTGGTGGGTGAGTGAGGAAAATCCACATTTGCATTGTTATCTGTGTTACTCTATTGTATTTTCCTATGTATGTTGGTTCAATTGCTACTTACCATATAAAGTTAGTTCCAGTTAGACTGTGTCAGTCTCATTGCACCAAGTATGTTCCCAGTGGGACCCCACATCCCTACCCCGGATGCTCCACTGGGTGGAGGCACTGCCGCAGACATGTACCCCAGCTCCCAGATAGCGGAGGCTCAGGATCCGCCTGTCAGGCATAGTGAGTTAACTAGGTTTGGGGACCCCAAAGACACTAGGGGGCACCCCCAAAACCCCGTTACATATAGAGAGAGAGAATGATTATGCCACTGAGGTGGTTATGGTGTCCATCTGATAATTCCAGCTCAAGAAAATTCACAGCTTCTTGATAATCTCTCTAATGGGGACTAGAAAGTGTATTGCATCCTCTGGAAACAATATCAAAATATTTATTTTGCTACTGTTGATCTAAAAGAATGTTTAAAACAAAAAAATATATTTTCTCAATCTCCAATTTTACCATAAAATAAAAATAGGGACAAATGTGTTCCATGATAATTCTCCCCAGGTTAGCGAAATATTATTAGACAAGTTATTATAACGATGCAGAAATCATCTCTTAATTATAATTTTTTTTAACTTGTAGGACTAATGATTTCATTATCAAATGACTTCCTGCTTTTCATTACAGACATGGACTTGTCAGGTCTCTAGTTCAATATTTAGCTCCACCTAGTGTTTAAAATGCATTAATGCACAAAAAAAGTAACTAACTTGGAATATCAAAAGTCAGACATCTTCCAAGTGTAACCCCTTAATGTGTTACTTCAAGCATCATAACCACTACAGCCTACTGTAGTGGTTACGGTGTCTGGAGTCCCCTGCCATGGTTCCCTGGTAATGAGGCAAACCATTTTGTAACAGTTTGTCATGTTGGGTTCTCACCAAGCTCTGATGCTCTGTCTGTGTATGGTAAAGTGCTTCTGTAGAGCTATAGAATTCAAGGATTTTACAGTTATTATGATGGAAAGTCATGAGTTTATTAAAGACACAGAGGCGAGTATTATGCTGCACTCTTTCTTTAATTCCCTCAGCAGCAAAGAAACATTATTTGAAAAAGATAACATTTGAACAGGTATAAACATCACAATGATAATGTCCGCCTAGCAACATGAACCTCCAATCAGTGACATCCTTCTCCGATAGTGGGCGGAGCATCGATGACCATTTCCTCTTTCTTGCGAATCCCGAAGAATAATTCAACTCCGAACAAGAAACGGATAAACAAATGAACCGGAACCATGCCTGTGCTTCAGGGACTTCAACCAAGTCACGCTAAAAGAAACAAGAAAATATGGTAATGTCCAGAAAATGAGTCTTGTCCGCATATATGGAGGCTTGAACGTCTGATTAAGCATTGATAATTCATAAATGTAGTTTGAGGAAACTACTAGCCTAAAGATAACAGTGACAAACAAAGTCTATCATTAAATAATGCCCTAGAGTAATGTAGGTATGGCATCAGAAGCGTCAAACTGAACTTACCATGAGGATGTCTGTAACTTACCTTAACCCACATCCAAGCCGTCCAAGGGCAGGTGGGTGGGATAATACTCGCCTCCGTGTCTTTAATAAAATCATGACTTTCCGTCATGACAATTGTAAAATCCTTGAATTTTATCAAAGACTCCTTAAATGCTATTTTAAAGCTGTGATATCACGGCTTCTGTGAAATGCTGGATTGGTTTGAAATAGAAGTTACGGAAAGTAGTTTCCGTGGACCAATCAGCTGCTTTCAATATATCCTCTAAGCGACAACCAACAAAGGAAGCTTTGGAGGCCATGGCACCGCGAACTGAATGCGGAGAAAAATATACAGGTATTAATGCCTGCTAAGGACATGAGCCACTTGACCCAGCGGGTCAAGGTAGGAGTGGAAAATGGAGCATGCGGTTTGCGGAAGGAGATGAAGAGTTGGGGTTCCAAATCAGTCCGGAGGGGATCGCTATGAGCTTCGTACACTTTGAGACACGCTATTGGGCAAAGGAG